AATGTTTTTGATATAATCATGTAACCTCACCTTTACCTGTCTTCTTCTTTGACAGATGATTGCACAGATTTCATAAATTTTCCTGATCCCCTGAAATACAGAAGACAAACTTTAAAGTTTATTTATAATTCCAGTTTAACGTCACTGATTTTGTGTGATTAATGTTATGTTTTTTGTTGTTGTTAATTCTTCTGTTACCGTTGTCTAGCAGATCACTGAATCTTAAGACATGAGACAAAAAAAGTTCAGAGCTGAAATAAATAAAAGCTAATTCACCAAGGAATTATTTCTCATTAATCCGTCTCATTTATGCTTGAATGCAGCAAGCTGCTGCTACCATTTTTTTTTTTTCAGTTTGACTTCAATGCATCAACACCACCAGATAAAATGCTCCATCTACTGAAGAAAATCTGATCACGTTCATTTGTGTATTAAAATGCATAAGCCATTGTGTTTTCTGGTTTTGATAGCTATTAATAGAGGACCTATTTAAAAAGAGTGTAATTAACTGAAAATCTTTTTCTTTACAATGGGTGACGGGACTGATATACTGTATTATAGTTTTAACAAAAAAAAGTAGCATAATTACTAGGGGTGGGAGAAAAAAATAGATTCTCCGATGCATCGCGATTCTCTCTTCAACGATTCTGAATCGATTCTGAATATTTCAGAATCGATTCTTCTGAGCTTGGTTTTTCCCCCCGCAAATGGCACGTGTGCGCGTTAGAGACGCGGCGGGCTTCATTGCACACAGTGTTGCCAACTTAGCAATTTTGTTGCTAGATTTAGCAACTTTTCAGACTACCCTAGCAACTTTTTCTTCCAAAAGCACCTAGCAACAAATTTAGCTATTTTTAAAAATTTATTTGGCAACATTTAGCAACTTTTGATAAGTGACTCAAACGATAAAAAAGGCACACATTTTCCATCTAAATTACACAAAAAGAGGAAAACCAAAGATGCCTAGTAGTACACACATCACGTGACTTAAGTTAAATGCTATTTGCAATTGTTCAACAATAATTCAACGGATCTGCATGCTTTCTAATTGCTCTCGCGGTGCTTTGATGTCAAACACTGATCGAACTGCGCAGCGCCGCTTCAAGACGAACACACCTATTGTGATACACCTTTTTAGTAGCTTGTACCTGTGATTGTTGTTCAGTTAGTACACTATAAGAAAAATATCTAGAAAAATGGAAAGGGTACTAGTAATTTTCCAGGACATTATCCATTATCCATTATCCGTTGTAACTCTATAACCCGAAAACACAAAATACAATGCGTAATTTAAAATACAGGTAAAAAAAAACCTGTGAAAAATCATATTAACATAGTAGACTATTTTTACAGGCTTTTCTTAGAGTGTAGCATACAAACTAACTACTAATACACTGCTTAAAAGTATAATTGTTCAGAGCGTGTAGTTTTACAAGTTTACTAGCTAGTAAAAAAAAAAACTTAAATTGTAATTGTTTAAAAATGTGTAAGTGTTCAATAATTCAATGTTGTATTTAAAAATACAGTTATTCATATTTTCATATTATTATATAAGGCATTTATATTATTTCACAAACAATTTTTTTTAACAAATTAAAATTAACGTATACAAAATATATTTTTTGCTGAGATTTGATGCAGTGACACAGTTTTGCATCATGTCCTCCAACCTATACACCCGAATAGGTCGTTTGTCATTTTCCTGAAATACGACCCATAGGAGCGTTTACTACAGTTGCGCCCCTATAGTTAACAGGACACTTTCGTTTTAATGCATTGTATCATTTTATCTGTGTCATAATTCGGGTTTCGTGTAGCTCAATTGGTAGAGCATTGCGTTATACAATGATATGCAATCATGTGATCATGCGATGTGGGTTCGATCCCAGAGAACGCATATGCTCATAAAGTGAATATGCGCTATAAACCACTTTCCAACGTGTCTGTCAAATGCATAAATATAAACGAGTTTTGCTAAACCTCTGTAAGGGGTAGGTTTAGGGTTGGGGTAGGTGTAGGCGTTAGGAATTGTGATTTTATGGCGAGATTTTGCGTCACTTCCAGACGTAGCTGTATCCCAAATGAACTTGCATTTTGATTGGAAACATTGGTCATACGTCATTTCATGACGACAGACGTAACATGATGCTGTCATTATTTTTATGCCAGCTAGAGGGCGCTTAACTTTAAAATGTAAATATAGGTCGTAATAAGGTGCTTGCAAAAACGGCTATAGGGTCATTTTTTGGAGGAGGACAGTCTCCAATTTTGCGTCGTGATAATGTGATGACGTCATCGCGCAATGACATCACAACGTCATTTAGCAACTTTTAGCAACAAATTGACCTTCCTTTAGCAACATCCCATAAAAATGAGTTGGCAACACTGGGTGTATGGCTTCTTTCCAGTGTGAATCATCATGTGCCTTTGAAGGCTTGTTTTTCGATTGAAACTATTTCCACACAGTTTGCAGGTGAAAGGCTTCTCTCCAGTGTGAACCCTCATGTGGGCTTTAAGGTTTCCTTGGTGATCGAAACTCTTTCCACACCGTTGGCAGTTGAAATGACTTCTAGTTTCAGTCTTTTGAGCTCTTTTATGTGAGCAAATCTTTTCAGTCTGTGAGCAACTAGATGATTTTTGTCCAGTCATGAAATCATGATATTTCTAACACTGATCTTTGTCTTGCATTTCATTAAGTTCTTCATGCTCCTCTTTCAGCGCCATCAGGTCTAGGGCGAAAAGAGACAAATACAAGTTAACCCTTGTTTAAATGCAACAATGTAGAACAGAAAGCAACAATGGCCCAAATCTGCTATTCATGTCTAAAACAGGACTGTCAAACTCTTGTGGAGGGTCACAGTCCTGCAGAATTTAGATGCAACCAGCTCCAAACTTTAGTTTTCAAGTAATGAAGACCTTGATTCAGGTGTGTTCAATTAGAGTTGGAGCTAAACTCTGTGGCCCTCCTTTAGGGTTTATTATATGCCTTCACTTTGAAACTGCACTTTTTTAAACCTTTCATTTTATTTCCTGGTATTTTACATTATTTCCGAATGCAGCAATAAAATGTGACTCGTACACGATCTTTAATTTAACATTTTATACTATTTTATTTATTAATTAATTTTATAGCATTTATTTTTTGCCAAACTAGTTTCAAAGGTTTTATATATTTACCACTATTTTAATTCATGTTTAAATGCATCGCTTCAGAACAACATTAAGTATAAATACCTTCACATTTTTGTGATTTTATTGCACTTCAGAAGGTATGTAAAGATTCACTCAACTCACGATGTATGTTGTATTTAAAATTAGTTATTTATATTTTAATATTATATTATGCATTTATATGATTTTATAAACACAACATATTTAACATATTTAAAAAAAAATTTTTTGCTGAGATTTGATGCAGTGACACAATTTTGCATCGTGTGACGTCACC